TGGAGCATTTTGGTTTCATAATTTTTAATACTTGTCAGGAATTATGCTAAAAAGTAGTCCGTGTGTGTGTGTGTGTGTGTGTGTGTATGTGTGTGTGTGAAATGGTTTCACCATGCTTATATTGTACTTGGTTTTAAAAGGTGTAAAAACTACATAAACTAAATATTTTGCTTAGTTGTTGAATATTCTCAATTTTACCACAATCAGCAATATTTTTAAAATATTTTTGCATTATTTCCTTATTACATAGAGCTTTATCTTCCCTATGTGCTTATATGGAGTAAAAAATGTCAATTCATTCAAAATATACATATCTCTGTTAATACTCAAAGTCATAAAGAAGTAGAATACAGAAGGCAAGGGAAAGTGTCAGTAAAATATATATCTGCAACTTTCACATTTTGGATTGAATTCTCATTGATAGAGCACTTACTTTGAGGCAAGCATTTTGCATATAGAATCTCAATAAAATTTTTATAATATATTTAGGTAAATGTTATGTTCATCTTAATGTGAAATCTAAGGCTTAGAGGTAACCAACTTAAACCTAAAGTTAAGTAGCAGTAGGGTTGATATGTTTTTTTCCGATTCTTCAATTCCTACTGCCTCCTAAAAATGTTTTCTTTCACTATTATAAAATGAAGTAAAGGATATAGAAATACTTTTCATATACCTACCTATTCTCACCAAGTTTCTTCTCATATTTCTTGGTCATAGGGTAAGATTTTAATATTCACAACTAAATATCAACTGCCCCTAAGTAAAATGCACAAAATATCTTCAAAACCCAGGACTAGAAAAATCACAAAACTATTTTCTTTGGCACCTTGACTTGTATTTGTGTGTGTGTGTGTGTGTGTGTGTGTGTGTGTATAAACTTATGGAATATGCTACAAATAAAACAAAAATTTTAGCTCATTTTTTTTCTAGCTCTAACGAAAACTCTTCTCGTTTCTTTTTTTCTGGGACCGAAGTATTTTCCATCACTTAAACACCCTCTTACACACATGATTTTTATGAAGGAAATTATCTCCTTCACTACTTAGCAGGCGCAAGTATTATTCATTAATAAAATGCATTAAAGTGATTTTAGAACATGTTAAAATTAATGATTTTTTTTTTTTGCCATTGAAATCAATACTGAGACTTAAATCACTTTAGGGCTTTTGATAGACAAGCAATTCATAATTTCTTTAAAATTCAGTCAAAATAGCTGTGCACTGACTAAAATGTTAAGTCTAAAATGTAATAAAAATGAAATATTTAGACTGTCTAACCTTTAGATTATTAAAAACGATCACTATTACATAAAGCGAAAAGAAAATGTTAGTTTACAAAGAGAAACCAGTCAGATATTAAAATATGTAATGTATATACACATATTATTTCTTAGAGAAACATATGCAAAAATTTAACACACTTCAAGTAATAGTCATTGAATGTTTTTAGGTTATTTTTAATACACCAAATTTATTTACCAATTCGAAGGATCACTTCAAGGCAGATAGTTTAAAAATTCTGGAGGGGGAGCGGGGGCGACAAATCAATATATAGTAGATGTGTAAGGACTAGAGCCAGGGGCAAACATGAGTTCCTAAGTTATAAATATTACCTTTTTAACAAAAAAGGTGGTACTTTATAAGATATCCAAGTTAGTACCTATTTATAAAAACAATACTTAGAATGTTGGCCACATAAGAGATAATGGCTGTAGGCTTTAGAGGACTGAAGAATGAACAGACGCAACTAACTCAAAAGGCATTATGGATCCCTCAAAGAACCAAAATAAAGAAAAAAAAAACAAAACAAAAAAACCAGGTCCTCACAACGCCCTGAAAAGTTCAGGAATTAGGAGGTGTTGACTGGCACCCATTTCTTGCTGTTTTAAAACTTGCCCTCTGTTGCTAGGCCTCTGTTGCTCCGCGGAAACCAGCAGGGGCAAGAGGCAGGTGCCCTACGCTCGGGTATTCCGCAGGCACCTGCCCCGCCTCGGCCTCGGCCTCCACGGGCCGAGCGCGCGGCGCCTCCCGGAAGTGCCCTGCGCCGGGCCCAGCCGGCCAGCTTCCGCGCGCGGAGCGCAACCCCGGGCGTGCGCTGGGGCGGCGTGGGGGAGGGGGGCAGTGAACAGAGGAGGAGGAGGGGCCCGCGCGAGGCCCCGCCTCCCTTCGGCTGCGGCCTCCAGCTACTGCCAGGACTCGGGGGGCTCCGGGTCCGGGGGTCGGCCTGGCTCGGGTTCACGCAGGGACGGCTGCTCCTTGTCCCCACGCGGGCGCGGCCCCTGCTGCTCGAGGTGCAGCTGCAGCAGGGCCCGGCGGTACATGGCCTCCAGCTTCTCAAGGCGGGCCCTCAGGGCCCTGGGGCTGCCCGGCTCGGCCTCCGGGCCACCGCCTCGCGCCCTCTTGTTCGTGCCTGCCTCTTCGGGGTCCGCGGTCGCCCTCGTCGCCTCCGCTGGCTCCCCGTCTCCGCCCTCACCGGGAAGCTGCAAAGCCTGGCGGAAGAGGCTGCGGTTCTCGCGCTTCAGCCGCCGGTTCTCAAGCCGCAGGCGGGCGTTCTCCTCGCGCAACCGCACGTTCTGCCGGTCTCGCTCGTCTCGCGCGCGGATGGCCTCCAGGTGGCTCGCTGCCAGGTCGGCGAACCGCTCCTCCAGCTGTTGTCGGGCGCCGCCCGCACGGCCTCGCCAGCCCACGCTGCCGCTGCCCCCACGAATCCGGCCCGGGCGGCCCAACCCGCGGCGGTCCCCGCCGCTGTCCCCGCCACCGCAGCTCCCGCGCCTGGTGGCGCCACCACGCATGCGCCACATCGGTCCCGTCCCTACCGCGCGGCCAGCGCTGAGGGCCGAGGGGCCACGCGCCCAGGCGCGGGCGAGTCGGGGGCCCGGCGGGGCGGCCGGGGCAACAGCGGAGGAGGAGAGGAGGTGGCGGGCGGCGGCTGCTGGCTTAGCGCCAGAGGAGGCCGGGAATTTGCCCGATCTGAGGCGTGTCTTGTCTCCTGTGGCGGAGCTGCCCCCCTGGGCCTGCGATCTCCCGGCCCGGCACACACACAAGGCCCCCGGGGAGCGCCTGGCTGCTCAGCCTTCTGGCAGCGCGGGGAACAGCGTGTCGCCTCTGCTGGGTTCTGCCAGGGCGCTTCCGTGCAGGCCCGGGCACTGCAGAAATCAGCCCGCCTCGCCGGGGCTCTCCAGCGCACTGGTTACCTTGCTCTTTACATGGCAATCTCAAAGCAGATAAGTAATCTTAGAGTGATAAGATTCTGGGACAGAGATATGGGGCAAGTTCAAAAGCTGCAGTTTCATTAAGAGTGTAGCTGTTTCATCCACCTCTAAGCTTGATGAAACCTTCAACAGAATTGAGCTGAGCACCTGTCATGAGGCCCTCAAGTGGGAATAGGTAGCCATGAAAAGAACTAGAGCAAGTCCCAATTTGACTCCACATTGCAAAATGTTTGCAACTCTATTGAAACAAGGTTATAATGAGTTGATTTGCTCAGGCCTGTCCACGAAACCTAAGAAACTCAAAATATGCCCATTCATTCAAGAAACTTTGAATACTCAGTAAGTTCCAAAATGTCTGGGGGACATGGGGAGACAACTCTGAATGAATCTGGAACTACTGGAACAAGTAAATGAAAAGAAGAGCATATGAGAGCCCTGGATCACAGAGTTGGGGTTTTCATTGAACAGTACACATAAAAATTAGTAACTAGGGAAAAATACAGTTTATTTAATTTTTTATAATTTATTTTGCCAAGTAAAATCCTAAAACAAACAATCTCTCAGTTGCCACTATCATTTCATGAAATAAAAACAAGTAGGAAAGATATAACTTCAGAATTCCAAAAACTATAAATTCAGTTTTATGAAAGACCATATCGTTCTTAATTCCCATTAAAAGTAGATGGTGAAAACTCTGTTGCAGATATGCACAAACTATGGATTATTGAACAAAAAATGTGTTTTCCGGTAGCATATATAGAGAATGCAGGAGAACATGCTGGTATATAAGGACAGATGATTAGTTCTCCATTTTAGCCATGTTGAATTTTAGGGACCTGTGAGATAAAACATACACTGTAGAAGCTAGATGCATAAAAAAGATTCAGTCACCTCCTGGGTGTTACGAGTTATGTACTAGTGTTTTATTTTCTGTTGCCTCCGCTCTCCTCTCAACCATATTTGTAAATCTACTAGTGTTTTCTTTTACAGCTTACCGGGTTAAGCCTACTCTGTTTCACTTGTAGAATACCTGCTAAATTTTTGTAACTAATGACAGTAATGAACCACACTGGATTTCCTAAAGGACACACTGATGCTGGTTATATGAAAAGACCTTCATACCCTTTCTCTCTACACCCAATGCAACCCCAAAGTACTGTCTTTTTGTAAGTATTTATTTTTTTCCTTTCCACACCCTCAATTCCCATTCTCTAATTAGTCAACAACTTAAATTTTACCTTACATAAGAGAAGAAAGATGAACAGAGGAGTTTACAATCATTGTGCTTCTTATTATAATGCCTTAAACCAACATTTTTATAAATACTGTAGTTGAGAAGCAACTGCAATTGCTAATATGTTAGCAAGTTGGAATGGCACTGTTCTGCCTTACAATTCATGAATCCATTTTAGTATTTCTCAAAATCAACTTTGAATGACAGCTGTTGAGGTTATTGCCCCCTTTCTCCCATCCTCCAAACAAGTTGTTCTTGTCATACATGGTAGCTGTTATATATCTCTAGGTGCTCACTTGAGAAAGAGACCCCATGATACATACATACATACGTATGTATATGTATATATATATGTATATATGTATATGTGTATATACATATGCACACACATGTATATACATATATACATATATGTGTATATACACATGCTTATGTGTGTGTGTGTGTGTGTGTGTGTATACATGGTTTGTTTCCTGTATCCCCAGTTGATTTTTAAGATTCTTGTATTGCCATACTCATTTGACTCTCATTTCTCCAGTTTGAATCACATTTCTTTTAAAGTAGACCATAATGTTAAGGGAATTTATGGCACATTCGCATGAGAGAAGTCATCCTATATTGAGTATCTCTTTCTTGACTCTCTCTTTAAAACATCCTATAATACCTCACCCATTGAATTTTGGTTAACAACTGTGATCAAGTTTATTATGTAACAATGTTGAACTCCTTAGTCTGGCACTTACCAGCTGTCCATAAGCTGGATGCCCTGGGTGTTTCCATGCTTGCCTTCTATTACTCTTCTGCTGGTTTATTCACTCGTCTACTAAGAGTCATTGAGCTCTTTTGCCCTGGAGTTTGGCTGTAATGTCCTTTCTGTGAACTGAATTGTGCAACCCATCCCCAATTCATATGTTGAAGTCCCAACTGCCAATGTGATGGTGTTTGGAGATGAGGCCTTTAGGAGGTGATTAGGTTTAGAGGAGGTCATGAGGGTAAAGATCTTATGATGGGATTATTGCCCATATGAGAAATGACCACAGAAAGCTTGCTTCCCCTCTCTCTCTGCCATGTGAGAACATAGCCAGAAGGGGGCTATCTGCAAGCCAGAAAGGAAGCCTTCTCTGGGGAACTGAAACTGCCAGCACCTTGATTTTGGACTTCCCAGCCTCCAGAATTGTGAGAAGTAAATTCCTGTTGTAGTTATTGCCCCCTTCATTTTTTCCTCCCTTATCTGGATTGTAAAAATTCCATCAAGGCAAAGTTTATACCCTACCATTTCATACATCTGCCTTAGATCTCCTGAACTCAAGGTGCTTCCCCCCTCTTTTAAACATTGATAAAATATTGCCTGTTCATGTATCTTGATTCTAGGGTCCTTCCCTGTGTTAACATTTCCTGTGCAACTGTATCTGCAAATATAATAGGAGTTTCTGGAGCAGTTTATATTGTATGTATATTTTGTGTGTGTGTGATACAAATATTTCTTAAATGACTAGGATGTCGAAAGCATTTATTCCTCATTTTCTTAGATAATCCTAAAGGATTATTTTACCAAGTAAAAACGCTAATCATTTAATAGCCAAAGTTAACCTATATATTGAGCAGACTGAGCTAATTGAAACTCACCAAGAAAGATTCATAGACTGCTGGAATTATTCAGACTGAAGTAGGAAGGAGGTTGGCACTGCCTTGTTAATGGCAAGTATTCTTAATGACTTGTCTTAATATGTAGTGGGCCTTTATATGTAGACTTTTAAATATGTAATTAATAAAAGGTATGGCGTGTGGAGTAAGACATATCTGGATTTTATAAATACCACATCTTTCCCTCCCCAAATTTATGGCCTTGAACAGCCTCCTGAAGCCATAGTGTCCTCATCTGTACAATGGGAATAAAATAGTCTCATGGGGTTCTTGTGAGGATCTCTATCTTAAATAGAGTCCTTCAGCAAGGAGAACTCAATAACTCTTAATATTATTATTATTTTGTAGTTGTTTTTCTTTTATGAGATAGACATTTATAGAATGAGTTCTTGTGAATAGCCACTGCTATCTTAATCCCCCATTTGAGTTATTTGCTGAAACAGGTACCACACATATAATATGCAGCCCCTTTGATGATATGATTCTTACTTCTGATAGTTCTCATTAAGTGTTTGGGTTTTAAAAATCCATATTCTGTAAGCCCCATGTGCTGAAGGGTTTGGTTAATCACATTCTGAGCTTGGTGTCTGCTAATATTCTCTCTAAAGCCTTAGCTGAACATGGTTTATTTTCTGGGAGCAGATTTATTAGGGCTATCAAGAGTGTGTATTGACGCTTGGTAGCATGAATATCTCTTTATTAGAATAATTACTAGAGAGTTAGGAATTGGGAATATTGACTGCATTATTTAGTCTTTTGATATGGACAAAAATATTAAAAGCCATCAAACACTAGCATTGCCCTCTGACAGCATCATTTAATTCTAGCTACAGGGAAAATTGTGACATAAACAAAAGCAGCATGACTTATCTATCTTAATTAGGATACTTTCCACAGTGGGGGAAATACCCTCCTTCCTTCAAGTATTATAAAAGCACTATCCAGACTAATAAAAGAGGGTAAGAGCACTATAGATTAGCAGAAAGTAATGTAGCTGAAAGCAAAATGCAGCCACACAGGATACTTGGCCTAAACAAGGGTCCAAAATAGACTGTTTAAGGGAGGAAACATCTGTTCTAAAATAGTATTGTTTTATGCTATGTGTTTATAGATTAGCATTATTTCTTAAAGAGTCTGGGCCTGTACTTCTACTAGCCACAGTTGTCTATTTAAGTGAGTTAAAATAAAATGAAATTTTAAAATCAGTCCCTCATTTACACTAGTCATATTTCAAGTGCTCAGTAGTCAAACATGGCTTACTGGCTAGCATGATGGGTGGTGAGATACAGAGTACTTCCATTATCACAGAAAGGTATAACGGACAGCACTGGGAGAATTAGTGCTATATTTCAGTTCTTTCTCTAATCATTGGTCTCAAGCTTCAGAAAGCCATGTTGAAACTAGTGGAAAATAAAATGAAAGTGATCTCTCTGCATATTTCTAGCATTTCCTATATGTTTTATTTCATGCCAATGAGACAGTTCTGTCATCAACCTCATAGAGGGAGGACCATGTTACTCTTAAACATATGTAACTCAGATAATGATTCTGTTTCAATCTGAGTTCTCCAGTTATGTACACATCATTGAAGGTAGTAATAGGAGTTTGGGAATAATTTCCAATTGGAACTAAGTTATTCTCAAGCTATTTTCATAAAGTTACAAAAAACAAGTAATTTAATTTTTCTCCTACCATTGCCCCT